CCGGCTCTATGATTACTCATAGACTCCTCAATGTCACCGTTATTCCCTATTCGGGTTCGACAAGAGCGACAGCATGACGCATGACATAACCCAATGGTCTACACAGCTTCACAAATTAACCAGCCAGCCAGCTCAGAGAACACAACCACATCAAAATCACTCCAGTGTTCAAATGGAGTGGAGCTGCGTTCATGGGTCGTTCTATGCGCGTCCTTTCGAAACGGATTAGAGAACGTTACCCAGCATGGCTGCAAAAAGGGGAGGGGGGTAAACACTAATTCAACCAGAAGTGCCGTATTTCAACAACTCGGCAACAATTATCACAGCGTCTCAACTGACTCACAATTCAGAGTCATTTACAAAGTAAACAAAAGCCTACTAAAGATAGTGTGTTTTCGACTTCTTTGTACTGACGAATCCCTCACCATAAGTATTGACAAGCCATAGCTATGTGTTCAAAAGAAACCAGTTCAACTACTACATCTACTATAGATCCAGTTTGGCCTGATATCCTCAGTTTTCGTTTCAAAAATTCCCTTCAATATTTTGCATTAGAGTTGTATAAATCTTCAATAAATCGTGAAATAAAACAATTCCAGTGTACTTTTAGAGCCAGGAATAGTCTGGACCGATAAGAAGATTCTAGAAGACCTGGGTTTTGCGGACAATACATATGTAATGACACACAAACTCGAAGACCTACATACGAAAGTCAATAGACTAGCTCAAACAGCAGTAAAGATTCGTGAAAATACAGATGATAGTTGATGAAGATAATCAACCACCACCACCACCAGCAACAACCCCACAACAATTAGCACTAATCACCATCAATACAATAATTTAGAAAGATCTCACTTCCTTCACCTATCTAGCAATCATCGTTTCAACCACACACACACGGAACAGATGAACATTTCAAAGCCAGTCAGAATCGGAAAGACAAACTACACCTTCAACACTCTGAAATCACTTTGGAAGTCTTCTATATTCTGCACAAAGAACAAGATTCGGATCTCCAACAGTCAGAACTTCCATATGGGTCAGAAACTTGGCCATTGCGTCACGAAAAACATTTACAACAGGCTGGCTGCAAAACTGCCGCCATCACTGGCTCTACAGTGAAAATCAAATTGTCGGCTAGCCAGAAAGAATTAGTGACAAGAAACTCTGGCTGGTAACGAACCACTCAAGAACCGATTGCTCAACAAATATACAGGAGAAAATAGAGATGGATTGGGTATATACACTGAAGAGACCGTTGTGTGACACCACACTCAAGACCGTCCTCGTTAGGAGGGGGAGCCTGAATAGGGAATGATGAGTTGGGCGTGGGTTCAGGAGTGGCGTGGTGGAGATCCTTTAGCGAGGAAGAAGGGGTGAGAGACTATGGGAAAATATGGGCTCAACTAAAAGGGGACTTCAGAGGTGTGCTGTTGTAGCCCAATGTTCCACTTAGATAACCCAGGGGAACAATCATTAATTAATTACTATCTCTGCCTACATGACAACTCCCCACGCCCTTTCTATCATAGAAATAAATGATAAGAATTTATGAATAAAGTGCGAATTAGGTTTGTTCAGGCTTTGAGTGAATTTAAAAAATGTTTATAGTTTCTTTTTTTCTTTACTGTTTCAATGACATACTTTTATTACATGCATGCATACTCAACCTTGCCATCATCTATGTGAACATGATACTTCACAGTGGTGTTTTTGTAAACACACTATGAAAACTTGTTTTAACCTGTTCTTGTTCTTCTTTGATAAATTCTTTCAATGCATGCCACTTTCACTGGTATTGATTATTTTGTGACAAATTCCATTAACTTTGATATTATATTATAGTTTAACAAACATTTGTTTGGTATTCACGTAATGAATATTTTGTAAATATAATATTTGAAAAATAGCCTAAAAATAGATTAATCTTAGTGTTGATATATAAATATATATAAATTCTAATCAAGATATGACTGAATGCTTCCACAATATTGATTGGCGAGTAAATAATAGAGACATATTCGAGTGGTATGAATATGAATAAATTTCAGAGATAAACTGGTCTGTACACTTCTTCGTTATCATTATTATTATTGTTGTTGATAATTTTCCTGAAGAAGTCCGTACAAGTTTGTCTCGAACATATTACAATAAATATTCTTCTCTTGGGTTATCTAAGTGGAACATAGGGCTACACAACAGCACATCTCCACTTTGTACCATTCTCTGAGGTCCTCTTTTAGTTGAGCGCATATTTTCCCATAGTCTCTCATCCCTTCTTCCTCGCTAAAAGATCTCCACCACGCCACTCCTGAACCCACGCCCAACTCATCGTTCCCTATTCAGGCTCCCCCTCCTAACAAGAACGGTCTTGAGTGTGTATACCCAATCCATTTCTATTTTCTCCTGTATATTTGTTGAGTGATCGGTTCTTGAGTGGTTCGTTACCAACCAGAGTTTCTTATCACTAATTCGTTCTGGCTAGCCGACAATTTGATCTTCACTGTGGAGCCAGTGATGGCGGCAGTTTTGGAGCCAGCATGTTGTAAATGTTTTTCGTGACGCAATGGCCAAGTTTCTGACCCATATGGAAGTTCTGACTGTTGGAGATTCGAATCTTGTTCTTTGTGCAGAATATAGAAGACTTCCAAAGTGATTTCAGAGTGTTGAAGGTGTAGTTTGTCTTTCCGATTCTGACTGGCTTTGAAATGTTCATCTGTTCTGTGTGTGTGATTGAAACGATGATTGCTAGATAGGTGAAGGAAGTGAGATCTTTCTAAATTATTGTATTGATGGTGATTAGTGCTGATTGTTGTTGGGGTTGTTGCTGGCGGTGGTGGTGGTGGTTGATTATCTTCATCAACTCTACGTCCTAAAAGACTTCTCTACCTGAGTTTCTACAAATTTATGGAGATTTATCCGTAGAAATACTGAGAAGCTACCTGTCCGGTTCATTGAAGAAAACCTTTTTTACCACTGAACTTCAATTAACTTTCTCCACAAAAACCAATGATTCACATTGATATGAAGTAGGCGTCATCAAGACGTTCCTATTAATTCATCTGCTTGAGTGGAGCTAGTTACATTGGTTGTACCCATCTTTTGCTATCCAAGCGTATTATCGTACTCTTACGTTCATGGTTTCATAAAGGAGAAAAAATATCCTCCCCCCCCCCCACACACACACACAGTTCTATGCTCAAACATCTGATCGAATCTGGTGTCCACCAAGCTAACCCCCACAAACCAACTTTAAAGTCGTCTAGAGAATACGCGGGTAAAGCTTGCTAAATGAGTAAGCACTAAACTTCTTCACATCGTAGAAGCAATGACAATTGACATGTTAAATCGTGGAATTTGCATATCAAAAAAAAAATTTGCTCAGTCGTTAAATCTACAATGAACTTGGTCTGTCTTGGTTTTTTGTTTTATAGTTAATTGTATTATTGTCTTCCCTCGCCCACCAACAAATTTCTACCCCTTATTATTATTATTATTATTATTATTATTATTATTATTAACTTAACTCTCGTTCAATTCTAGTTGAATTCTACTTAATCCCGTCAACTGCATCACGTCACCAAATTTACTTATTTAGTTTTATTTTAGTTTCTACTCGATTAACACTTTTTATATTACGTCATTTGCCATCTAAAATTTACAATCCTAATCAGCGATTTTTGGAAATATTACTTTTGTTGCTGTGAGAATTTACTAGGTATTTGCGATTGTATGGATTGAGAATGATATAACAGAGGGAAGAGGAACAACTCTTCGCTGAACATCTTTTTTAGGATCTTAAAATTAATGGTACTTGTTGTATTGTTTATTTTATTTCATTTCTAATTGTCCAAAGTGGAACATAGGGTCTCAAGCTTAGGTCATGAAGTTTCACTAGTAGTAGTGTTTTTTTTACGGGACAGGATTGATGGCCTGGCGCCTAACCCGCAATCTTTACCGTACTCACTACCGGCGAAGCAAGGCATATGAGTGCGTGGGCGGTAGCTGAAACCCCAGACCACGTGATGCATAGTTGGTGAGCATTCTACCGCTGGATCATCTACCCTTGCTGTATCATAGCACAATTTCGACGGCCAGTGGAGTTCACTGGTAGAGCGGTCAGCGGTGACCACGCACGTGGGATTTCAGAGTTCGATTTGTATACATAGGTGGTTGAAAGCAATCAGTAGGAAGACTTGGGACTGCCAACAAGCAGGATATCTAGGTTCAAGCCTTTCAGCCTTCCGCTTTCAACTACCTAATAGCAGAACTAACTTGAAACTGTTCAAAGCGACATGTAAAAGTCAAATGTTAGAAAAAAGGCAGATTACTGAGAAAGCCCTTTTCGGACGATATATATTTCATCCCCAATAAATCTTGGCAATAGATAACTGATGAACTCAGTGTTTTAAGACAAGGAACGACCAGGACTTAATAGCGCTGACATTCTTTCACAACTATTTACCCTTTTCTCAACACTTTTTAAGCATACAGAAGCTTAAGATAGATTTTTCTCCTTACGACTGAATTATACTTTAGTTGAAGACATGTAAAACGTATAGAAAACGAAAAGGTTTTACGGAAGGTAAATATGTTAATTGACAAAACCATCATAATTGAGCATTTTGAAATAAGTTTGAAAAAATAAAAGACAAAAACTAAACAATTTAAAATTCTACAGGAAAAAAAATAGTATGATCACACTGTTTGATACTCTTTATTTCAATGTTGAGAGAATTATCAGCATTATAATAGCATGAATTTATGTGAAAAAACTTATGTGCGTCGGTCGGTACAGCGGTTAGGACGCTCGCCAACCATACACATGGTCCGAGGTTCGGTCCCCTGTCGACGCGCACCTGATATCAATGGTTGGCCTGCAAAATTTGGGCTACCGATATCACATGCTGAGAATTCCATACCTGTACCAAAAAAATACGGTGTGGAATCATGCTAAAATCAAAAATAAAAACAAAAAAATAATAAGTACTACTTACCATCTTGTGGAGATGTTTTCAGCAATCGACATAATCCTACAACTCCACCATATTTTTCATTGATATATTTGACTGCTTCTCCTTTACGACAATCCATTATCTTTCTTAAGTCTTTGATAGTGATCTCGAAAGAATCTGCACCACCACCAGTGGTGAGCGCAGTTCGTTCGGTTGGATTTCCGTCACGCATTGTTATTTTTTTATTTATTTTTTTATTTAGTGTGTCTGATCGATGATAAGAGAAGTTTTACTTTAAATTGATGTGATAAAAATGAAGTAATTTGAAATCCAAATGTTTTTTATCCTATTAGATATAAGTGAAACAAAGGTGTCACAAATATTATAAAATATTTAAAAAAAACAGGATTGTGAAAATAAATGATCACTAAAATATGTGCTTAGTACTAGAAGAATAGACTTGTATTTTATATCACCTACCTCCTAATGATTATTTCTAAAGTGACATTCATGCCCTAAGTTTAAGCCGATTTGATCAATAATGCAAGTTAACAGAGAGTGAAACAAGCACTCCGTAGTCCGTGATTTTAGGAGATTGACACCTTGACACCGCTCTATAACGAAACCACCATATTTTATCAACAATATGCAGTTTGTAAACATTTTTATTATTTGCGGACGATATTAATAAATAATAACGACGATAGATTGGTACTACAAAAGGATCTAAATAAATTAGCTGAATGGGCTAACCTTTAACGTTTGAGAATTAATGCCAAGAAAAGCGCGGTAATGCACCTACGTCAGAAGTCTTACACGTACTCACTAGGGGATACAGAACAACCAGGTGTTAAGGAATTATTGCAAGCCATTACTTAAAAATAACGATAAATTGTAATGGAGTCACAGCTAAGGCTTTTCCAATGCTATAGGCACTTCGAAGCGCTTTCAAACGATTAGACGAGTGTATGTTCCAAGTGCTCTATGCAATATATGTCAAACCTCATCCAGAATACTGCATACAAGCGGTGAGTCCATGCTTCAAAAGGGAGGTACATATCCTGGAAAAAGTACAGAGGGTAGGAACCAAATTGGTTAGTAGTATCTCACACACTTATGATAAGAGGATGAAGCATTTAAATCTCTTTCCATTATCATACAGAAGGAGGAGAGGCAACTTAATTTCGGTATACCGTATATTAAAGGGTGATTAAGGGATAGACCTTTCAAATCTTTTCTCACACTTTCGCATACATTTACGAGATCAGCATAAGAAGATGCTCAAACTGATGTCGAATAAGATACATGCGGAATTTAGATTCCCCCACAGAGTGATCAGCGAGTGGAACTCATTACCTGGTTCAGTAGTAACAGCTACATTGGTGAACGCTTCAAAAGACAAACTAGATCTGTGCAGAAATATATATCGCAAGGAATAACATAGGCAACAAGAGCCTTCTATTCTTAAAATTTGAATATGAACTAGGAGTGTGTAACTTACTGGGTTTAAGAGGATATATTTACCTACTTACAAATAGAGGATTAACTCATGGAATTCGTATTGTTTATTAACACTCTTTATTTAAGGCATGAAGCGTAGAAGTCAGATATTTCTAATATAATGAATATAAATTGTAAAATGTGCACTGCACATGTATAACATATTCAACTTTTCTGAATTTATCAGATTTCAGAAAATTCAGGCAAGGGGATATGCTTTAAAAACCAATGGCTTATTCATTTATTGATGAACAACAAACATATCGGAGATAAGAGAAATACACGTGCTTACATCCACAGACAATGATAATTAGTGCGACATTTCACAACGGTTTAATGAAATACTGACCTACAGAATTATACGAACATTATTGAACAGTTTATATACATGAGAATATAACATCAAAACATTTATCTAAAGCTGGAAATTGGTCTAACTTCAACCAGCTGAAAAGCAGACTATTACACTTTTTCTTACACTACTAAGTCTTGACATGTGTACAACTAGCTCCGATTCAGACATACAACTAAACTAATTAATAGGAGGAGACTGGATACTATTTCATTCTGCCCATGCCTTGCTGAAAGAATTCGAATAATTCTACTGTAAACGCCAAAAATTTAATATATTGTCATACTATAGAGATAAGTTTACCAGTTGACCAAGATATTAACAGCTTAACAGTACTATGTACCACATTGCATTTTCAAGCATAGTCCGAGAGACAAAAAAGGTACATACAAGCCAAATGATTGACTACAGTTTACTAAGTAAAGATAAAAACGAACTACAAGCAAAAAGACACCAATAACGAATGAAGAGTTATTCCACGAATTGTTTTGAAGTGTTCTGTTAGTGTTAAGCAGTTGTCATATGGTATTATTAAACTACCCAATCGTTATAGATAAGGTATTTATCACTGTGTGAAAAATAGGATTCTACATAAAATATCACTAGATATATTCCGTTATCAATAACATATATAGAGCAAGGGAATATAAGTAACTGCCATTTCCACTACATAACCAGAAAAATCAACCTAAATACAACCGCTGCCCTACTATACAGGCACGTGAATACTGAAGAACTTACAACAGGTGTTAAGTAAAGTAACAACGAAGAAACCAAGCCATACATCGTGTCATGCGACAGACAATTATAGTCATCGTTTTCAACAAAAGTTAAAATGCAACAGACAATTGAAATCCAATCGCGACAAACTCGCGAAATTCTAAGAGTTAAATTATTTCAAAGAACTCATTTATGTTTCGGCATGTTAATAAGCTGAATTAACCTAATATATTTCCTAACCATAATTAATATAATGTGGAGGAATTGAAGCAGAGTTTCGATATATATGTGAGACGAATGAACCAGCTTATTTAGGTTGTGAAAAGATGTGAAATTATTTCGAGAAAATAATTACTGGTTGGAGAAATGGGCGGAATACTACATTACGAGGGTTTAGTAATTATATTAGCACTATTAAATTTCAATCAACTAATGCTTCATTTTTGGAAGACAGTGATGTCTAAAATTTGTTCATGTATATTTAAAATTATTCAACATAAAAGGAAGAAGGATAATCTCATAGAATCCAAATGAAACTGTAGACAAACTAACAAACAACCTACATTGAACAAAAACAATTTTAGTTTGTGCGCTAAGTTAATACCAAGTGTCTTTGAAATATATAAACACATTGAATGTGACAATTTTGATTCGGTTAATTAACGAGTTAAGATATGAACAAAAATTAAAAAGATACGAAGGCATTCAAACTAATATAAATGAATGGTTATGAAAATCTGTGAATGCTGTGCATGCCACCAGGCAATTTATTTGACATCTAGACAGAATGTGTTCTAATACCCTAATATAAACCATGATTTGCCTACATTTATATGCCCAGATCGCAATAAGCTCAAGGATTCTTAATGCAGAGTGACAGATTAGTTATCAGTGTTGCGAGTGTGACACTTACGTTCTCCATATACCAACGCCTTCTCATGTACTTTAGGAATTCTGTTAATTTTATAAGCAGCCTGGAAAGCTGTCCAAACCACGATATGATTGAGGAGGTTCCCCTTAATTTGAAGACAAGTGCTAGCAGATTAATGCAGTGAAACCTTCGAGAATCCCTCGTCGGGATGATATCAATATTACTTCAAATCGACAAAGTATTAAAGGAAAATTCGTTTTGCAAACAAAGTTATGTTGGTAAATAATGACACTTCGTGTATATGTTATGTTGAGTTAGAAAACATAGGCTTATGCGGCTTCGACTTAAAGTACCTTCGTCTTCGAAGACTGAAGTTATCCCACATGCTCTAAGTCTCAGATTTCCCACTTTTACTTTGTAATTCAAAGATAACTTCAAGTTGCTCACCAGGGTGGTAGCTATAGGAGATTATCTTCAGTGGAAACAATTTTAAGGTAGCAAACTAGCTTTAGGCAATGCTTCGTAGAAGTAAGCAATGTACGTTGACTGCGTCTAAATTTATTGAACGTTGTATAACTGGTTAAATCGTAGTTCTTACATATCTGTTAGTTTTACAAATGATTTTTTTATTACAGCTTGACTCCACACCGTATTTTTGGGATCAGTGTGGAATTTTCAGCATGGATATCGGTAGCCCAAAATTGGCAGGCCGACCATAGATATCAGGTGTGTGCCGGCGTGGGCTCGAACCCCGGACCATGTGCATGGTCGACGAGGGTCTTAACCACTGTGCCACCGACGCACATGTGCAGTGCAAGCGTTTGCTTTGATTTGCATACCTAGCTCATAAGCAGTATGCATACATTTCGGGCTGTTAGGCTGTGTGACGAGTTTTGTGAAACACGGCGCAATCATGATCAAAGCAAGAAGAACAGGTCAAGCAGGAAAAAGTGTCGCCATCTAAGTCTAGTAATAATATTCTACTTTGATCCCAAAAACAATATCTATAAGCAGAATATCGGACTTATTCTAACACTTTATTCTAACACCAACATATAGCCAACTTTAAAATTAAGCTTTAAAGGGCTGAAATTATCCGTAACTTATCAAGGTCATTGGTGGAGTGAGACGCTCGAAGGTCATTTTCGTCCATTTTAGTCGGCCATGTTGGATCGCGGTTCCGTAGCTGTTCGTTGACGCGTTTGTTGTTCCGTTTATCCTGCCGTTATACACGACTTATCTTGTTGCGTATCGTTCACAAATGTTGCGTTTCACCTCATTTTTTGTTTCCGTTGCTGTTAAAATGAATTATTTCTTTGGTTTCGAAAGTTTTCACTACCAGGCCAGTGCATTCATTTCGGTGTAAGTGTTTTCATACCTTGCATTCATGCGGCTTTCAGTGTTTTAGTTGGTTTTCAGCTGTTAATGAATTAGTACTGTGTAGAGGGTTTTGAAATTGTGCACATGAAGATGTTTGGCTGTCAGAAGCAGTTGTTTCCAGTCCATTAGTTGGTTGCCGTTACTATTGTTGGCTCAGTTACTTGCATAACATGTAGAAATCTGGAAAAAGAGTGTCTTTTTCGTTCATGTTTGCAGCATACAACAATCTGCGAGTGAATCTGTTGAAGAGAGCACCATCAGAGTTGGTATTAGCAAGGTTTTCGAAGAACAAATTAAACCCAGAGAATTTAGAACCTGGGTTGAAGTTGAAAAAGCTTTGAAGCTTTTTGAGAATGTGAATATACCATCCGTGTGTCTGCTATCATTTAAAAAAATATATTGTGAGAGAATCTAAGCCAAATAAGGTTGAGCCGCATGAAAAGTATGAATCTGTTGTGCTTGTGTATATTTTGGGGGAACTGAAAGAACCTGGAATCCTTGAGGGTAAGTGTTACTTATGCTTATTATTGCTTGATGTACTAGATCGCAATAAATGAACTAGGACTACCCGTAATAGAGCCAGTGTTAACATCCATTCGATGGGTTGCAAAACGGTTTTCAAAGCGGATAAAATACGGTGATCTGGTGAGTGTACAAACAATCCCAGTTAAAGGTAAGACATTAATTAGGAAGAATAACGTTTCGGGTTGTAGTCTACGATTGGTGGTTTCCTCGAAGTTGTGATTCTTCCGTGACTATAGACACAGATGTTCACGATCTTAAAAAAAACTAAATAAATTATCCTTGAACCAGTAGTCTTCTTTTCTTCGGCGAAACATCCGTTAATACGACTATACGATTAGGTAGCGAAGTAAGATGTTATGTGACTGAGAATCGTGGTTGTTGTGTTTCTGACTAATTTCGCACATCTGACTTATAACCGCATGGAGATAGCGTTTTCCTCATGGTACATTATGATATCTAGAAATCATAAGCACGCTGCCATCGGTAAATTTATTTTTACTTTTTAAATGGCTGCAAATAGTGAGTCGTTTGCGGTGATAGGATGAATACCTCTGAACGTTTTTGTGGAGACTAGGGTATATTTAATTTTTTCGAGTAAGGGACGATCTTTTTACCAAGAAAGTTCTCGGAATTTTCGTTATTCAAAGATAACGCTAAGTTGCCCACTAAGGTGGTAACTATAGGAGATAACCTTCAGCGGAAACTATATTAATGTAGTTTTAGGTAATGCGTCATAGAAGTAAGCATCGTAGGTTAATTGTGTCTAAATGTATTAAACGTTGTATAACTGATCAAACCATAGTTCTTACGTGCGAGTTAGTTCTATAAATAATGAATGTACCGTACAAGCGTCTACCATGATTTGCATACCTAGCTCATAAACATTATGCCTGCATGTGGCATACATTTAGGGCCAACACGCTGCGATGAATCAGTCCGAGATACTTAAAGTCAGACTTCATTTCCATATCACTATTATCAATTTTGCAACGGTCATAGGAATTAACACCTTCAACTAACTTTCGTTTACATCGGAAACTGAAAATAACAGTCTGACATTTCGAAGGATTTAGTTTAAGAGCATTTTCCCACTCCTAATAGAGAGCTGTTCATCTTAGTACAGTGTAGCTGGCAGTTAACAGACATTGAAGTAGTTAGATCGTCCGCGTGTTTGAAAAAGTTCTTCTCGTATGCATTCGTACAATAAGTTCATCAAACAAAAATACAATTGGTAATGGACGACTTCCCCCTGACCTACAGTGTACTGCTTTCTCCCTGATAAATAAGAATGAAGCCATCTAACAATCCAATACTCAGTTTGAGTTTCAGCAAGCTTATCTAACAGAATATCTCTAGGTAGTGAGTCGAAAGCAGATGTGTACTCTAGGAAGGTGCAGCGAATTTAGCCCCATTGTCTATACTGGAGAAAATGTTGTGAAGCAAGACTGCAGCTGCATCTAAAGTACGTCTACTGTGTTTATAGGAGAACTGTTTGGGATCGTTAAAGGCTCTGAGTGAGGGTTAAAGATTAAGTAAGAGTAACTTTCCCTTAGTTCGTATATACCTCATTTGATTTGAAACAAAGGAAGCAGGTCTTATTAACGCTTGTAACACTAGAAAGTTTGGCATTTATGGGAGAATTTATGAAAGACTTGTTTAGTTTACACACACCAAATGAATAGGGAATACTGGAGGTAATTAGATGCATACAGGCGTAGGTTATTTAACATCTATAAAGTAGACATGCAAATACCGCAGTTTTTGATCACAGAAATGATGGATACTAGATAACATCCTATGATTCAACGGCATATTAAAATAAATAAAAATTGTTTCTTAGCTGATCGTCAAGTGAACAGTCTATTTGATGATGTCACTGCATATTAACAGATTAGTGAAGTAGATATCAAGCCTAAGTTACTACATTTACTTGTACTACATACTTGGCGTTTAACAGTATACAGACTTTCAACTGGCTAGATAAGGCGACTTTAGAGTATCAAACAGTACAGAATTATTATTCAACTTGCTAAATCCCACTTAGCTTTTACAATGTGCTATTGTGTAGAAACAGACACGAAATCCTACTAATGACTAAAGTAACATTCTCATAATACTACAGTGAATTTCCATCCCACTAACTAAGCTTAGCGTTTATTATTCCTAATTCACTTATTACAAAAGCACATAGTATAGCGAGGAATTGAAGAAGTCTACAGGAAGAAGTAATCAAGAGTATATTAAACATTTGATTAATTTACAAAAGAAAATTCTGATGAAGGGTAATAAAGTTAGTTTGACCGAATGATGTTTCCGCTGATTTCATATTCGACAACCTCCGTATACCTGGAAAAAATAAAGTACATGTTAGAACTAGCATAACATGAAGTTAACAAGAGATAATTCTACATATTAGCATACAATATGAATACAATCATTCTGTTAAAACTAAGTATTATCTCAGGGAGATAAATGTATTTGTAGTCTACAGCTGATATTTATGTTGACGCCGTATACATAAATATACATCATATGTTTTCCTGCATTTGAGGACTATATGCAAATTTCAAGGCAATCTCCGAAACATTCATACTATTGAGGCGTCATTCTCTCATCAAGCTTACTTGCAGATCAACTTCACACTAAACACTTTTACATGAAATGAAGTATTGCAAGTGTATAACTTAGAAGTTAATCCACAATCTCAGTAATGTCTAGTCCACAAGGTTTTGTGAATCCTACAGAAATCACATTTTCACATTTAGGAGACTATAGGCATCAAATATAAGCTGAACATGCCTCAACTCTAGACAGCTATGCACAGTGCTAACAACATAGTGAAACACTTCAACTATTGTAAA